ACTGAGCTACACCACCAGCCTACTACTCATTTTTGTGTGTTGATTTTGGACCCTTGCTGCTTCACTGATTTTATCAGTTTTTTGGAAACTTTCAGTGGTGTCCTGAGGATTTTCTTTCTTTTTTAAGATTGAATTTATTTTTATGGATGTGTCTGTGCATGTTCGTGTGTTTTCCTGCAGAGGCCATTTTTGCATCATCCCCAGGAACTGGAGTCATAGGTGCTGTGAGTTGCCTTATGTGGGTGCTGGGAATCTAACTTTAACTGTTTTCTGCTGGAGCAGCAAGTGCTCTTAAGTGCTGAGCCACCTCTCAACCCATGTAGGGTTTTCTAAGTATAGAATCATGTCACCTACAGACAGGGTCATTTGGTCTCCTCCTTCTACTTTTATGTCCCTTTTATTTCTTCCTCTTGCTCAGTTACTTTGGCTAAAGTTGCAAGTAGTATGTTGAGTAAGACTGGTGAGCCTGGACATCCTTATCTTGTTCCTGATTTTAAAGGAACTGCTTGCAGCGCGCGCGCACACACACACACACACACACACACACACACACACACACACACACCATCCTTTCCCCGCCATGGTATCCTGGTCTGGTCTTTTGAGTCATTTGTGGACCTGTGCACCAGCAGTGCTAACATTATCCTTCCATCTCTAGTGGCTGCCTAGGAAAAGTACCCAGCTGGATCCACTGGGCTTCTGGTGGTGTCTTGTTGTGTGTGTGTGTGTGTGTGTGTGTGTGTGTGTGTGTGTGTGTGTGAGAGAGAGAGAGAGAGAGAGAGAGAGAGAGAGAGAGAGAGAGAGAGATCCCCAGGAAGCTGTTCTCCTAGAATCTAGTTTACATGATAATAAGGAGACTTCTACACTTGCTTTGTGAAACTCTTGTCTTCTTTTTGTTCTCCTAGCAAACTATTAACAAAATACCCTGAAGCTTTAGCCGCATGCTTCTGAAATCCGTAGACCATCAGCCAATTTAGGAGACAATAGCCAGTGTTCCCCATGTGCTTGCTTTCTCAAAGAACACAAATATCCTCATTTGGACCAAAAATATGTATTTTTTAAGTGGAACCGGCTTTATAATATTTGAAAAGAACAGTTTTAGTTCTTTGAGTTTTTTTTTTTTTTTTAAAGATTTTCCCCTGAAAAGTCAACAAAAGAAAAAGAAGGAACAAAATTTATTTTCAGATTGGGTCCAATTCCCCCAAACTGCTGAAGGGAGGGTGGCTTTTGTTGTGGGGAACCAGACATTCAATTTCTTTTGCATGTTAAAATTTGTCTTCTCAGACATTTATATTATAATTAGCTATTATCATGCTGAGTTTATTAATAGTATTTCTATGGGAAACAGACCAGTTCAAGTGTAGTAGAAAATGGCATCAGTCCCTTTTGAACAAGGAGAGGTAGTGGGATAATGAGAATCTGAGTTGCTCTTCCTGGAAACCAAACATCTATTTAAAGCAACCACAGCTTAGTGGGTGTCCTTATGGAGCCTGTGGGCATCAGCAGGTGTCTCACGCCTGACCCAGCAGCATGTCTGTGGTCACTTCCTGAATTGATCAAGTGAGAGGGTCTAGGCTGCTGCTGATATCACTGTTTGCCCCAGGGTCCTCGCTGGCTGACTTGTGATGGGCAGATTTTCTGTGAAGTCCTGTTTGCCCCAGGGTCCTCCTCGCTGGCTGACTTGTGGTGGGTAGATCCTCTGTGAAGTCCTGTTTGCCCCAGGGTCCTCGCTGGCTGACTTGTG